AAATATACCATGAAGGGCTTCCTGTTTTGTAGGATTGATGAGGAGATGCTTTAAGAAGGGCCCAGATCAGTATTGGCAATGGAGCTGAGGGTTGCAGGGGAAGGCACATTCCAGTGCTAGCTAGGTACAGGGAGAATGAAGGCAAACTGGCTAGATTGTGTTTTCCAGCTTTGGGGCTTGGCCCTGATTGCCACCACCGAGTGAAAATGAATGAAGGGATACCTGACTAATAGGCTCTCCAGGGAAAAAATATTAGCTGGGTACTGTTCCTGGTACTCTTCCTATTTTCCGCTTTCATTCTCTCTGGGCACATTATGTTGGCTAGTGTGATTTGTTGTAGTTGTCAGTACATATCTGATACAAAGTGGAAGAGGTTGATTCTTTTTAAACTGACAGCTGTTGTTTTTACTAATGGTGTGCTGTAAAGGAAAGGAGAGAATGCAATTCAGTAATTTGTTATCAGAAAATTATTCCCAAATGATAGAGTAACCTTTTTAGTGACTGAGACTTGACATTTAAAAGTAGTAATGGGATGTGAATGATTTTGTTTAATGGTTTCCGTGTTTGGGTCTTAACATAGAAAAGAAAGATGAGTTGCATTGTCTTCAAGACAAAATGTTTGTCTTTCTAGAAGTTTTAGTGTGCGTAGCCTATGATTCACATTTGTGTGCTTTTATTTAAGGAGAGTTAAATTTTTTCATTGATGTAAGTGTACTTTTCCTGATGTTTATGCTTATTCTGTTTTGAGAATGCCATTATAATTAAGAGAGCATCTGGTGAAAGATGTGAGGTACTAATTTAGTTTTATTATTTAGTAGCCGATTCTGACCTAAACACCTGGAGAGGGTGATATGAGGAAAGAAATATACTTCCGTGGCTGTTAGTCATTGGAAGATAAATGATCTTGTTTGATTGAGAAGGTGTTGAAATTGATAAAATACAACCGTTTCTTAAGGTTACTAGAAAATTTTGTGTTTGTTTTCAAATGCTTATTGCCTGAAAGTTGTTTCGGTGGAAGACATAAACTTTGATTTTCATTCACAAATGAATTCATTCACAAAGTCCTGAGTCATTTATCATTTTTTTTTTAAGGAATAATATCACTCATTAACAGACGGCCATATAGCTGGACTAATGTTTTTCCAGTTTTGATGATTTGTTATTGATCTGTCTAAACTATTTGAACTATTTTTCTTTTTGTTCAGTAATGTACTTTATAGAAGTTGTAGGTCAGGGCTCAAGGAAGAATGAGAATTTCTTATATACTGTGGGAGATTTTTATTTGTCAATTTTTGGGAAAAAAAAAACACCCACATGATTTTGGTATTAACAGTAGTTGATCAGCATGCCTTTAAAAGCTGCCACTTGTGTGGCGAGTGAATTATTTTTGTATGGTGCTTGTAGTTGGGGCAGTGTGGTGAAATGGGAAAGAACTCTAGAAGGAGCCACAGTGTTGGGGATGTGGGGGAGGATGCCAGTCTTGGTGCCACCTGGTAACAGTGTTATCATCTCAGGAAGTTACTTAACTTTGTTCTGTAAAATGGGGATTAAAAACACTTGCCTCTGTACCAGGATTATCATTGAGATCTATTGAGGTATTGTTCTCTCTAAATAATATCTTTATACCAAAGACTTCTTCCCTAATCAGCAAATTATTTCTTGAGTAATCTAAATTTTTCAAATATAGATTTTTTTTTAAATTTTGGAGAAGAATCAAATTTATCATTGATGTAAGAGTAATATTTAAAGATACAGATACATTTTATTTTAAGAAAAAAATATCAATACCCAATCAGAAAACCCGAACTTTACAATAAACAGATTAAGGGGATACTTAATCCCCCTATTTCATTTAAATAACCCCCTCCCCTGTTTTGTGACTGATATTATAAACAGCATGCTTTTTAAGGAACTGAACTGTTGCATAGTAGGGAGTGAGTGGTCTTGTGGAATTTCTTATCTCTTTAATGAATCTGTTCATTTCCAGTAGTTCACTTTACACATTTGTGGTAGCAAGATCTAGTAGTACACAGCCTTGATTTTGTCACCTCACTTGACCACTTTGGGTCTCATTTGGTATGCCAGTAAAATGAGAAAACTGTTAGATCACTGGTTCTTAACTTCTTTTGGATCATGGGCTTTTTAAGTACTTGATATAAACTGTGGAACTGTCCAGAAAAATGCATATATACACAACTGTTTTTGTTTTGTTTTGCATATGGGCTCACGGACCCCCTGGGATAGATGATCTCTCAGTTCCCTTCTATTTCTTAAATTTTAGGATACTGTGATTCTTAAAGCATCCTTTTATTTTTGTCTCCAGGAATTATATAATATTGTATTATTATGTAGTCGTAAAAAGTAGCTTGTTGGATTTTTAAAATATGATCTTTAAAAAGAGAGCTCGTTCAAATGTAGTCATAAAAATCAGCTTTTTGGATTTTTAAAATACGATCTTTAAAAAGAGAACTCATTCAAATAAACAATCGCCAACCAAATACTGTGTTACTTTTAAAGAAAACTTTTGGAGTGAAGTAGGAAACTATGAACAAACATTGCCAGGAAAGGTTGAATAAACAGCTGTGGTAGAATAACATAAATAAACAGCTTCGAAAATCTCTAGCTTGAGGAAATAGTCTGTGGCAATCATGGGCCCTTAGTGGGAAGGCGTTGCCTCTCTGGGGGCATTTGGAAATATTGTAGGAACGTTTTTGGTTGTCTCAAATGGGCGAGGGGGCATGCCCTTAGTATTTAGTGGGCACGAGCCAGGGACGTTAAGTGTTTTGCAATGTCTAGGGCAGTTCCTTCTACACAGCAAGGAATTGTCCTGCCCAAAATGCCAGTGCCCTCTGACAAACACTGGTGATTGTGAGCTGGGACCTGGCACAAATGAAAAACGCTTTTTAAGCTGAAGTTACTATGCTCTTTTAGAAACATAATTCAACACAAAACATCCTTTGCCATTAATTCCTGCTTGGAAGAATCACAGACATAAAACGAGGATTCACTAGAGGAATTGGGGCTACTTAAAACGTATATATACTTTGTCCTCGAGTAGCCATTTTAACAGCAGAAGTTGGGGCACGTTGCTGTGTCTACTGGAAGTCTGGGAAGTGAAGGGTCTTACATAGTATGGTGGTATACGGTATGTAAGTTGTCCATATGATTTTTTTTTAAAGATTTTATTTATTTATTTGATAGAGAGAGACAGCGAGAGAGGGAACACAAGCAGGGGGAGTGGGAGAGGGAGAAGCAGGCTTCCCGCTGAGCAGGGAGCCCGATATGGGGCTTGATCCCGGCAACCTGGGATCATGACCTGAGCCGAAGGCAGACGCTTAACGACTGAGCCACCCAGGCGCCCCCTGATTTTTTTTTCTTTATAACATCTTTTTACACCTTGATCTAGTAATTTTGAAGAAAATTTCAAGGCCTTGGTACATTTACTCTCATGGTCTTTGTGCTGTTATACGGTTGCCTACTTATATTGAGAATATATTACAGTTGAGTTAGTTTTTCCATGTCTACTGTCTTTTCAGTAACCAAATCCCCTTCCATAAATCCATGTGCCAGAAAAGAAGTCTGAGGAGTTGGGCTGGAATGGGGTTCAGGTTTAGAGGGAAGAGGATGGGTTTTGGAATCAGACCTAAGGTAAAACTCAGTTCTGATACTGTGTGTCATGTGATGATAAGCAAGTTCCTAAATCTCTTTGACTTCACGTTTCATTTATAAAATGAGGGTGATAATACTTACCTTTGGATGATTTTGAAGATTAGGGCTAACTCTATGTCTGGCATGGAGTAGGCCCTCCATAAATGGGTGCTATATCAATAGTCATGCTGATGGTGATGATGAAGAATCCTGTAGCAACTAAACATCTGGCATGCTAATTTGCTGGATAGCACAGCAGGGAGGAGTCTGCAAGATCAGATCAGAAGGGTTCCAGGCGTTTTCAGTTGGTGTGTAGAGTGTATTTGTCCATGAATCAGCCGTAAGACGTACTGTTTTCTGTAGTCCCTAAGCTATAGAGCTCAGTCATGCTATAGACTAAGTTAGGTTTATGAGGACTAGCTTGAGGACAGACGTCCCCCTGTGATCTGGGTCCAGAGCTTTGGATGTGACAGAGGTCAGTGAAACAAACAAACAAAAAAACAGTCTGTTGTCTGTGTTTATCACATGGAACTGATCGGCTATGAAAGTTACTAGTACTTGCAAATGTTCTCATTTTCATAATGGTTATTTCTAAAGTCAGCACCCCTCTCCCCAACCCCCAGTTTACACATGGGTTTTGTGCTCACAGAAAGTGTCAGATATTCTTTGTCTTAACCAGATGAACACAAGAGGAAGACCACTTTTTGTGGCTTCCAGGAGCCACGTGGCTAAAACTCCTTACAATCTAGCCATGAGGTTACTCTTCATTTTCTTAGTTTCCTTTCTTCTGCTTCCTATTGCAGCTTTGTCACAGTAGCTCTGTGGTTGCAACAGAGGGCTGACTGGGTCCAGGCAGGGGTGGGACACAGCTGTGGCCCTGCCAAGAGTCGGTCAGGTCTGCTTTCTGGGCTTGGTGTTATGTGTAGGTAAGTGGGTGGCAGTCTGTGTTTTGTAAGATGCTTTTGTGCAGAAATTCAAATACATAACCATTAAACGTGAAAACATTTTGTTCCCCTATGGAGGGCATCCTCATGAGCAAGTCACATTTTATTGTGAGCAGTATAGAATTTTCAGTTAGAATATGTTGATTTTCTGTATAAATTCATTTATTTTTTTGTAAAGTATAAAGATTTTTACCTAAACCTCCAGGCCCATCTCTCCTAACTGATGGGGTTGGAGATTTAGGTAGAAAAAAACGGAAACCTGGATTTTAATCTTCCAGATTCTGGTGGAACTATCTCAGGTAACCTGCTCTGCTTTTCTTTGAAGCAGAGCAAGCTGTTTTTATTATTATTCTAACCTTTAGCCTCGCAGGTCACTTAGGCTGTCCTAGGAAATATTAAGTGTAACACTTTTTTATTATATCATGCCTATAAGAATGCTTTTTAAACCACTTCTTATTTAGTAAATAACTAATTTAAATAAATAGATAAGCTTGTCATTTCATTATTTGTACTTTGAAATTAATTAATATTAAAATCAGAAAAATTGTATGATCATTTATTAGACAAACATTGATTTCTTTTTTCTTATCTCTTGCAGGATTTCTGGTAGGTCCTTTTTTAGGATAAGATGCTGTAACTGTTGAAACGCCAGTCTGCATTGATTCACAGACAGTTGGCTTTTCAGCTGGAAAGCCTTTTTTTCCCCCCTTGCTGGTATACTGAACTTATGAAATCATGGCAGAAGGAGAGACAGAGTCACCTGGGCCCAGAAAGCGTGGCCCCTACATTTCATCTGTCACTAGCAGGAGTGTGAACTTGATGATTCGTGGAGTGGTACTATTTTTTATTGGAGTATTTCTTGCATTAGTGTTAAATTTACTTCAGATTCAGAGAAATGTGACGCTCTTTCCACCTGACGTGATCGCAAGCATCTTTTCTTCAGCATGGTGGGTACCGCCGTGCTGTGGCACAGCCTCAGGTATGTGTAGGTTGCTTCTGTAATGCTTAGAAAGGAAGGAGGGCACATGAGTGTGGATGTTGTCTGGGCAGTACTTGTTTTTCAGCTTTAATTTAAATGCAGGACAGTGGACCTGTTTTAAATGAACAGTTCCATGAGTTGAGGCAAATGCACACCATCATGTAACCAACCACCACAGTCCAGCTGTAGAACATTTTCCATGACCCACAGATTCTCTTGTGCTCTCTTGCCGTCCATTCCCCACCCTCAGCCTCAGGCTTCCACTGATCTTTCTGTCCCTAGGTTATTTTTGCCCGTTCCCCCATGTAATATAAATGGAATCATAGGGTAGGTACTCTTGTGTCTGATTTCTGTCTGACCTATGAACTTTAAAATTTTAATCTTAAAAGAATCTTGCTTCCCTTTGGGATGAGGCTTTTAACTTCTTACTTTCATCTTTTCTTCAGCTCACCTCATATTAAGTCTTACTCTTAGTTATTTTGATGATCATCGTCACTGTGGTTTTAAGGGTTAGATGTGTGTGTGTTATGGCCTTGTTTTTGAAATAGATGAAAACTTGAAAGACGGAGTAGTGTTATTCAAGTTCAAAGCTTCATGTTATTTATTTTTTTTTATTTTTTAAAGATTTTATTTATTTGAGAGAGGGAAAGAGTGAGCACAAGCAGGGGTGAGGCAGAGGGAGAGAGAAAGGGAGAAGCAGACTCTCTGCCAAACAGGGTGCCCAACACAGGGCTTGATCCCAGGACTCTGGGATCATGACCTGAGCTAAAGGCAGACGCTTAACCGACTGAGCCACCTGGGTGCCCCAAGCTTCATGTTATTTTTTAGATTTTTGTACATGCTTTTTTTTTCTTGGTATCTTATTTTCAAATGTATTTTAAGGATAAAGAATACTTAAAGATATTAATAAGTAGATTCTCTTTGCTTGAAGTCATTATCCTATTTCAGTAGTTATTTTAGATCTTTTTTGGTGGACAGTGTGTCACAGATAAAGTGGAGCATTTCAGAAAGCATACTTAATGGGGAGCTTCCATAATGGATACTCTTTAGCTTTTTCTAATGACTGAGACCACAAGATTAATAACATTTTATAAAAGGAAGTAATAGGAGGAAGCCATCATTGTGTGGTAGAAGAAAAATCTGATCGAGAAAGAAATTGCTTTTTAGAATGTCCATTTGGTGTCTCATACTTAAAATACACCAGTACCTTGCAGTATAATGTATATCCTTCTTGACTTCCATCCTTGAGCTGGAGGTTGAAGGGGGAGGAATTAGGTGTGAGATGTTTTAGAATGACCTCGTGGAACCTACTAGACAGTTGCGTGGATGGAAAGGCATGTTGTGTTAAGGTTTCAATGTGGTTTATGTGTCGATGTCTCTATTACAATATTCACATTAAAAGTTTATAAAGGCAGTGATTCGTAGTTTCCCCAGGGTTATTACATTTTCTGAGAGACTAGGCAAACTCGTCCAAATAGAGGAGAAAGCATAAATTACATTTTATCATTCTCTGTTGTGTCTACTAGTCCTCATGTATTTTCTTTCATCTAAACTCAAAAGAGAAAAATTAAGTTAGACTAGGCAAACTCGTCCAAATAGAGGAGAAAGCATAAATTACATTTTATCATTCTCTGTTGTGTCTACTAGTCCTCATGTATTTTCTTTCATCTAAACTCAAAAGAGAAAAATTAAGTTTTCCCATCGTCTTTTTCTAGTTTGTTTATTTTCTTGTATAGTATAGCTGCTGTCTGGCTACCAGTTGAAGCTTTTTGGGATTTGGGAGAACATGTCTTTTCAGTAGACAAAAGGAAGGTCAGGGGAGGGAAACTGTTCCTTACTGACTGCCTCCTAATGTGCTAGGCCCATCCCTTAACCCCAGGGATCTGTAGGGCAACTTTGGGAATGAGATTTTGGCATTGTGCCTACTTTGGAGAAATGAGGAACCTGAGATGAAGAGAGGATGTCATTGAGCCCAGGGGCTCAGAGCTGGTGAATGGTGCAGCTGGGTCCAGCACCACAGGCCGGAGAAGGGGAAAGAGGAAGCTCCTCACACTTCCCCTTGATTCAAGGGGCCTCTTTTGAAGCTTGCAGAGGAAATGCCAGGCTTGGATGGAACATACCGTTGTGTGTTGGACATTTGTGGCTGGGGCAGGAGAATTTGACTGAGGTTTCACTGTACCTCCATTAAGGAGAGGACCAGGGGCTGCGTCTGTCCCTGTGGCATGGGCACTTTTGCCACAAACTCTTATTTAGGAAGGAAAATTCCATATGTTAATGCCACATTTCAGTTACTTTGTCTCTGCTTTCCTTCCTTTTCCCAGCCACTAGGTCTGTTACACTTACAAACCTAACTTCATACTTCTCCATTTGGGCGATTTACATTTACATTTCTTGCTTAAGTGTTTCTCCTGAAAGCAGTGCATTCCACGAGGTAGGTATATGGGCACACGGAAGTAGAGAGGCATTTGGAAATCTGGATTCCAGTTGATTCTGCTACTGATTTTGTTGGGTGAGTCATGGCATTTAGTAGATGAGAGTGAAGATACCAGGTTTGTGAAAGTTGCCAAAATGGATTCTTGCACCTCTTGCCCCCAATTTTAGGGAAAATACCAAGGAAATAAGAAGTTAATGATATAAGAAACATAGTGTGTACATGTTTACATGAAGTATGTATATGTTTTTGTGTACATGTGCTGGTATGCATTTTCAAAACACTCTAGGCTCTTACCATCTTAAGTCAGAAAAACTGATAATTGTCCTTTGCTTTTCCTATCCAACTAATATTCATAGACAGAGCAGCTACCTTCTGGAGATTCTCCAGAATCACTACTCTCTGCATACAAACAGAAGGGTCCCTGGCTATTTGCTCTCTTCCCCTATAGCACCTAGTGCTGGAAAATTTGTTAGCAGTGCTTCTAGAGGGACAGCCAGTAGAGAACTCTGGTACATTTCCTTTGATCTCATTTTTCTTTTTAGTTCTCTATTTTTAATTTAATAATGGTTGGTGTTTCAAGGTGATTAACTTCTCAATGTGTGCAGTGCATTAGAATCAGAGTTAGAAACCGTTTGAACCTTGCGGAGGGCTGCAAAGGAATCTTTCTGAGGAATGAATAGAGGAAAAAGATAACTATCATTGTGTGCGTAAAAATAACTAGGGAAATTGACTTGAAAATCGCAAGTAACCAAATTATATTCATACCTATGAAACTAATATCTAACATTAAAAGAAAAAACAAATCTTTCCAGTTTAGCCAGGCAGTCATTTACCCAGTTCCCAGAGAGCCCTGCAAGACTCTTGCTGCCACCTCCCAAGTTTCCAAGTTTCCATGTTGCCTCTGTCTCTTGGTCTAGGCCCTCTACCGCTCTGATGGGAATTTTCAGGTTTTTCTTTTTCTGCTTCTAATTTTGTCCTCTGACCAGCCGCCAGTCCCCTGTCCCCATCATGTGTTGTTGTACACTCAGCACTGTAAGAGTGAGTACCTCTCTATCTGCTACAAATGCAATGGCATTATTTCCTGATTCCCCAGTGCCTGCAGGGTAGTCTCTGTGATATGACCCTTGCCAACTTTTGTCTTTTTCAGAGTCTTTCTGAAGCTCCCTTTTTGCCTAAAGCTTACAGTTTCCAGGTGATGGTGGTTATTTTGCACTGTCCATGCTTTTCCTCAGATTTTTCCCTTGGATTAGAAAGCCATTTCCACACCACTGACCTGCTGAACTTGGCTCCTACCTCAGGGGCCACTTTTTCTGTGAAGTTTTCCCGACACTCCCAGCACCCTGCCTCCCCTCAGCGCATGCCAGGAGAAGACTGGGCTCCCACTAGGCCCTGTCAGTGCCACCCATAACATATTACTGCATTGCATCGTTTCTGTGCTCACTTTGGGGCTGGGATCACGTCTTATTCTTTTTTCTTTTTAAATCCCCAGCAAATATCAAGAACCAGACACATTATGGGAGCTTAAGTGTTTATTGAATGAAACATTGCATATCCTGTCGTAGTTTTCCATGAAAGTCTATCTCATTCAATGGCTTTGTTTTTTTCAGCCCCTGCTCCTTGCAAAACATTTGATTTAACTGTTTCTCTTAGTGCATCACTGAATTAAACACACTACCCTGAAAAAGTGATGACTTAATATTGATGTTTTACAAACTTCTGGTTTTGGCTTGGTATGCTGGAACTGATCACTGGGAAGTAACTTAAATCTATCCCAAGAAATGTTATTTTGCATCAGAGAACCCTCCGATTAAGCAGGACGATGTTTGCATATAATGTTACACGGGCATGATTTTAACCATCTCTTGTTAAAATAAAAAAGTTGGGAGAAAGAGAAAAGAAGCCCAGACATACTTCTGCTGAGCTCTCAAACGGTGGAGCCTCACTGTGCCATAGATACTGCTATCAGACTCTGCCATGCCTTTATTTAAAGGGAAGGAAGAAGACGTTTAATGGGAAGTGACAAGCTTCCTCGAATTCTCCTTCTCAGTGAGCAACCGAGAACCATGCATACTCAATGGATTTGATTTTTATTGGCAAATCCCAAGGTTGGCAGCGTGGCAGTTTAAATTCCTTTTTGTGTTTTTGCTTTCTCTCCTCAGTTGTCTCTCACTTGTGAGTCTGACATCACATGCATACAAATCTAGTCAATTTTACTTATTTATATCTTTGCACACACGTCAGTATTCTCTGTGTGATAATTCTTTACCTATGGCATCAGCTGCTGAGGAAAATTGACTTGGAATGCCTGATCTTAGCTGATTTTACTCAGCAAGAGGCAAAGGGCAGAGAGAGAGGGAGAGCGAGAGTGAGGAATGACATGAGCTGTTAGTTTCATGACCCCTTGAGAAAAAAAAAAAAGAGAGAGAATATTCATTTAGATGTATTTCAACTGTTAGGCATGCTTATTGCCATTTTAATTTTGTAGGAATTTGGAAATGCTGTCAGTTAATCTCCCAGGATTTTAGAGCTGAGCCTTTTAAATAGGAATGTGATATGAAAGTTTTAAATTTACTAACCGTTGTTGGAGGTCCGCATTGCTGAAATTTGTTGTTAATCTCTTGATGGTCTGTGAACCATCTATACTCAGCAAAAGCCTAACTCAGAAGAGTACTTTCAGATTTGTGGATTAGAGCACACATGCATCATTGCAGCCGCTCACCTCCAGATGGAGGGGTGACTGTGCGGCCTCTTTTTAATACTGCTCCATTGGTATGCTAGCCTGTGATTTTTGATATTAACTGATTTCTGTTTTTCCTTAAAGATTGAATACATCATTTGTAAGATAGAGCTAGCCAATACCAGGCCAGGCAGGGGGTTCCTGATACTCAGGCACTCAGATTTTGGTACAGTAATTTCAAGATGCATCATAGGTAGAACTGGACATTTTAAACGTTGCTTTCTTTTCTTTTTTTTTTTTTTTTAAAGATTTTATTTATCTGACAGAGACAGTGAGAGAGGGAACACAAGCAGGGGGGGTGGGAGAGGGAGAAGCAGGCCTCCCACGGAGCAGGCAGCCCAATGCGGGGCTCGATCCCAGAACCCCGGGATCATGACCCGAGCAGAAGGCAGACGCTTAACGTCTGAGCCACCCAGGTGCCCCTTTCAGCTGATGTGACAATTGTGTCTTTATTACTTAATGGCAACATGACCATTCTGTTTTTAGGAAGATTAGCAAGTCAAAGCTGCCTAGTTATTTCCTGTTAATCTGTAGAAGTACATTTTCCTTAGAACGTGTTGAAGAATATTTTGGTTCGTTAAGGTCTTTTTTTAGTGACTAACTTAGCATTTAAAATCTCCCATTAAATGAATAAAATATTGAAGTTTGACATGTATTTTAATTAAAAATTGGGTGTGAATATTTGGAGTCTCAATCACAGGTAGACATTTTGCCCGCAGTTATTCATAATTATATGGTTAACATTAAAGATGTTCTTTCCAAAACTAAGAAATGTACCAAAATGACTTCTGATTTTTAAGAGTGAATTTGAATTTTAACCGAAAACGTATAGTTCTTATAGATTATGTTTCCTAAGTTTTTCTATGTGCAGAATGAGGCTTACGTGTAGATTTCTATTGCAAGTTTCCCTGTTTTGACAATATGACCTAGAGACTCATTAGAAGGCCAGCGGGGAGGGGAATGTCAGGACACAGCTCTGGGCACAGGAGACAAGCTAGAGGCACTAGAATAATCTGTAGAACAGGCCGGCTGTAGCCATCCGAACAAACACTGTGTGTGGGATGACCTTATTGTTCACATTTACACTTCCAGCTTCTCTTTAGACAGTTTGGGGCATTTTCCTAGCGCTCTTCATGCTTATGTGGTTCAGAGAGAACATTGTTTAACTGCCAGCTGGTTTGATGTTTTCAAATCTCAGAGATAGTAGTCGTAGAGAAGTAGCATGACCCATCTAGTCCAAACTGCTAAATTGTGACTCATACACTGAAATAGCGCTCTGCCAATTATAATTTGGAATACTGTTGTAATCATTTGCAGTGCTTTCTGCAGTGGTGTTACCTCTTTTTTTTCCCTTTGGGGAGGTAAGTTTAAAAATATGGGTGATTGATGTTAAGTATTGGAGAGCTTTTGAAACAATGTTTCAAATGCTTGTGGGGGTTGTAGTGACTCTTTTAGCTTAAGTTTTCCTGGTATAGCATTGGAGATGACTTAATTTTTTTCTCCTTTTTTCCACAGCTGTGATTGGGTTATTATACCCCTGCATTGACAGGCATCTAGGAGAACCACATAAATTTAAAAGAGAGTGGTCCAGTGTGATGCGGTGCGTAGCCGTCTTTGTTGGTATAAATCATGCCAGTGCTGTATCCTTTCTGCTGTAACGAAATGCATAATCACAAAGCAGCCCGGACAAACCAAAGGTTAAATAGTCCGTTGCAACTTCATTGTTGTCAAAATGTGGTATGTCCCCTTAGCGTAAAAAGAATGTGTGCCATATTGTTGAAACGTCACAGTAGCAGCCGTGCAGTTACTGGGTGGGGTATAGCCTTCCATTTAAATCCCCGAGTTTCAGGATCATTGAGAAACTTTGCACGTTTAAACATTTTGCATGTTTTTCTTAAATTAGGTTACATAATTCCATATAGTTTTGGTAACTCCAAGATTGAAACAGATACATTTTCAAAGGATTTCTTTCCTCTCTCTTCATTTAAGACTTGCCAGTGAGGACATGTGGTAGCTTCAGGTGCTGGCTGTTTTTTGGTTTGTTTTTAACTTAAGGAACCTATAATTTTTTTCCAAAAAAGGACTCATCTGTTGGTTTTAATCGATGCCAGCAAATCTCATGAATGTTCTTAAAGGTGGCATAAGTGGAAATATTCAGCTTAGACATTGGCCAAAAAGAACATTTGTCCCTAAGGTACATATTTTTAAAGTTTGATCATTTATGGATTCTGACATTTTATTTCGTGAGTAATGAGTGTTCTTAGAGTATCCCAGCTATAAGAGTAAAGTAGCCTCTATTTCCCTTCTCCCTAATACCACAGAAAAAAATGTCCACCCCAGAACAAAAGTTTTTGCCCTCATAAGATTTTCATCCTGTCATCCTCCCTGCTGCTTCTCCTCTTCTTCCCCACCCCTGACTTTCCTTTGGAGAAGAGAGCCTGTGACTGGCTAGTTCAGTCGTCCCTTTTCTAGAAGATGTGGCTTAGAGAGTGGAGGGGGCAGGAGCTTTGGTGCTGGGAAGAGCATGCAGTGCAGGTCAGGCTGCCCAGGGTTCCCTCTTGTGGCTCTGCAGTGGGCTCACGGCTGGTGGTTAGCGGGAGAGAGGGTGGGTCACGTGGCAGGTGGATTCCTATGTCTGTTATGGGAAGTATTGAGGTATTCTGGAGAAGCCTGGGAGAGGAACAAAGGCAAGTGGCAAGGTCCTCCATTCTGCAAACACATTTGCCTTTCTGTTCCCAATTGTGCTAGCCCTTGGGGATCTGTGAATTTGGAAGCCCCTCAGTGGCGGTTACTAGTCTGTTTTTCCATTCCTTTTGTATTAAAGAATTTCCCAACATGTTTAGCTTGGAGGAATCTTTGAGATTTAGGATTTTATAACAAACAAATCTAGTGGTTGGGAGGGCTTCAAAAGATAGACTCATAGAATATTGTATCTAGAGGAAAACTTAGAAATCACCCAGTTCCACATTTTTTTTTTATTAAAGATAATAAGACAAATGAAAGCTAGAGGGATTAGGTACTTCGCCAAGGCACTCATACTGCGAGGCTGGGACGTCGCTGAGACCAGACCCCAGAGATCCTGGCTCGAAGCTAGGAAGGGTTCCTTCTCCCATTCAGGAGCCCCCTAAGCATGTAAATTTCCCTCCCAACTGGTGGATTAGACTGTTCTATCCCAGATGTTTCAGGTGTTTTTAAGTAGAGAAATTTAGATAGCCTTTTCTGGAATTTAAAAACCTTTATATATCTAATTTAAATTTTTTGCCTCAGTCATTCTTTTCCTTCTCTGTCAATGAGATACCTGAATATAGCGATTTTTAACTGTTCCGTCTGCCATTGAAGCAAAGTCCAAAATGTCTGCAAAATTTATAACATAGACTTAATAATATTAGGTCCCTTAGACTAGAGAAAATCCCATGGTACTATTTTTCAGGTAGAAGTATTTTACCTGTTTACCCTAGAAACCTTATTTTCCTTTGACCCTTAATGAAGTTAATTTAGTTATCAAAGACAGAACTCAGTGAATATCAAATTCTACTGTTTATAAGAATGTTTATTGTGTAGAAAAATCAGAGCATATAACCTTTCCTTTGGAGTGTTAGGTATAATGCCTGCTAAAGAATAAGAAAAGCTTTTGCAGAAAGCATACCATAAACTATAGGGTTTTTTGGGGTAAATCAAGCCTAATCAAGAAATGACCTTGAGGGAATGGCCAGCAACAGTCCTCTGATGCTGAGAAGTAAGCGAAGAGGGAGTTGGAGATACCAGTTGGTGTGGTAAGGGCGGGAGTGGGTGGTAAATGACAGGATGTTAAAGGAAGTGGGGAAATAGTTTTATATGCATTTTTTGAACTTCTCCTCTCTTCTCTGTAGTTGCAGCATGGCCAGTTAGTTGGCGAGCTATCTAGTTTCCCCTGGGGAGCTGGATATAGAGCCAAGATGTGGCCTTTGGGACATAGATAATGCCCTTTTAATGATATTTGAAATTAATTCCTTTAGTGTAATCCTCTAGCAAAGAAATGAGAAAATTGAATTTGTAAAGCTTCGTTTTGCCCAGAGATTTTGGAGTAAAAAGGGCCACACATTTGTGAATAGATGCTTAAGTAAGTGACGGAAATAAAATATCATTTGAGCAAACTGTCCTATACCAGAAAGTCTCAGGCACCAAAATAGCTTGGCAGTTTGCAAGATAATGTTCACTTCAAGGCTTTATCCTCAACAAATTAAAACTAGAACAGTTGACATAATAGAAAGGGATACTGTGTCCTTGGTCCTCTTGTTTCTGAACTGCATTATTATAAAATGTGTCTGTCAGTAAATCATATAGAGAATGTGGTACCCTGTTAAATAGCTGTCAACTCTTCTGTTTTCAAGTTCTTGTATGATTCGCAAGTAATTCTGAACCTGTTTGAGAAGTAATATTGGTTTCTTTTTTAGCAAAAGTGCGTTCCTTTAGCAGTACTTGTGTTCCAAGACTTCTGGTTACATTTTTAGCAAAGCATTTCTCAAATAATGGGTCTGATCTTATAATTGTGAATGTAGAAAGAGGGCTTTTTTGGGGGGCTGGGGGGAACTACAAGTAGGTGGGATCTATTAATGAAATATCATGCCCTCTGTGTATCTTTAGTAAATACCAGAGACAGTTTTAATCTCACCCAGTGACCTGCATTGTATGAAAGGACTGAACTCACCCTAGAATAAGCAATCAAGTCCCATCTCAATAGTAACATCTCTTATTTTAGAAAAATGAACAGGTGGTATTATTTGGTTTACAAGTTTTAAGATGACTCTTTAACACTGATCTCAGAAAGTGGATTTTGATAACAACATACAGTTGTCTCTCACACTGGCTGCACTCTCCATTGGACTTTGGTGGACCTTTGATAGATCTAGAAGTGGTTTTGGCCTTGGAGTAGGAATTGCTTTCTTGGCAACCTTGGTCACTCAACTGCTAGTCTATAATGGTGTTTATCAGTAAGTATTCTTTTCAGTGCTTGTTTGCTAAAAGAAATAAATGACAACTGATTTCAGAATTGAGATTTAAAAATTGGGTTAGCCACTTTAATGTACAGAGTAACTTATTTCCATTGTAATTTTCTTAACGATTATCGTTGTATACTTCCTCTGTGGGTTGTTAAAAACATTTCTGTTATTCTAGATATACATCTCCAGATTTTCTCTATGTTCGTTCTTGGTTACCGTGTATATTTTTTGCTGGAGGCATAACAATGGGAAACATTGGTCGACAGCTGGCAATGGTAAGCTGATGCTTATTTCATCTGTTATTGAGATGTAAGACAAGTTTTCTCCAAGCCAAGCATACTAAAAGTCGAAGGAACCATTGGGTAGAAAAGCTAAAATGTGTTACGGATATGGTGATAGGACGTACCCTCTAATTTTTTTAACTAATCTGTAAAAAAGGATGCTGTTGGTCACCCCTGTCGTGGATGGCAGGACCAGGAACAGCATCCAAAGGCCACAGCAGTTTCACGAATAAGCGCTGTCACTTACATCATTGTAGCCCGCTAGGAGAATTGAGTGACTGTCTTTTTGATAATCTGGCCACCCAATTATCTTAAACCCATTAGTTTCCTTTATCTTGAATTGTGGGTGCACATCTGTAACTGTACTTCTAAAATACTGTTTTTGACCAGAAGGTTTTGCTAATGTAATAGACTTTTCCCCTTGAAATTGTAAAGTGATTTGAGAAAATATTACCTGAATTCACCATATCAGTCCTGTCCTTAAGTTCATGACCTTTCCTTTGCTGATTTGCCTTGCCGAGTACTCAGAGAAACCTATTTTGCCTCCCTTTGTGTTGTAGGATTGATCTGAATCATACTGTTATTATTTGCTTGTAGTGCAGAAACCTTGTCTTTTGCCTGCGTTTCCATGTCTCTTTCACTTCTCGACTGTGAACTTCCTTTTTCCCCTATCACATTCGTCATTTGCTTCTAATCCTTGCATAACTCTCAGATTTTTTGACAAATAAAGTGGGCATATGTTAATAAAGTATCAATTTCTAGTCTGTGTGGAAATTGCTATTCAAAATAAACCTTAATCTGTTAACCTTTTAACCTTTTAATTTTTACAGTATGAATGTAAAGTTATCGCAGAAAAATCTCATCAGGAATGAAGAAGGCAAAAATATATCTTTTGTACAGAAAAACAAGATGAAAAGGGCATGTAAATGATAGCTATATCAACAAAGCTTCAGACTGTAAAATTGCCAGGGTGCAGTTTTCCCCTTGATATGTGTGTGTGTGTGTGTGTGTGTGTGTGTGTGTGTGTGTAGATATATATGTGTATACACACACACACCCAGACACACTTACACACATATACATGCACATATGCATATATTACTGCAATCTGTGATTGCTTCCTCTGTAAAATCAGTTACAAACCTTGATGTATTTGACTTAAATAACTATAAAATATATATGCACTACATGAAACAATGTGTTCATTAATAGATGAAATTTTTTAATTAATTTTTTTTAAACATACCATATATTGTATCACAATGTTGATGTGCCAAAATACTGTTATTGTCATGCAGAGTATAAGAATGCTTGAACAGTTTATGTGCTTAGTGAAATAAAATAAGAGGAAAGCCAAAAAAGAGAAAGAAAAAGAAAAATGGAAAGTTGGTAGATTCTCTTTTGCTTACTGTTGTGCCTTTTCATTTTTCTAATCACAGCAGTATGAGTTATGGGTGCCCTGACATGTGGTTAGTTTCTATTTTAATGTTGTCTCAGAGAGCTTGGGGTATTTTAATTGATAATGAAAATGAACTTCCATAGAACATTTTCAAACCTGCATTACTGGAGAGAGTCCAAAAAGGAATTCTACTGGAGGTAAAAGTGATGAGCAGGAGAGGGTTATCAGCGTTAAATTGTTTTTAGTCTAAGTCTACAAGACTATATATAATTAAAAGAAGGCACCGTTGGGAAATTTAGCTAGAATAAATATGTTATAGAAATACCAAAATGACCTTTAGCAGTGCCATAAGTGTTAAATGATATTGTCATTTGCAGTGCAGTAACCCATTGCTTTTGCACATGGAACACCCAAGAAACCCCAAACAGATCGACATGAAGTTTCTAATTCTCTTGGGTTCTGTAATCTGTTGGGTTCTACCAAGCAAACCACATTAGCTGGGCTGGGTCACGTGACTGACTGTCAGTGGAATGCCATCTGGGAAATGGATGAGCACATCTCTTTTTACGTATTCATATGTCCATTAGTGAACAGTTCGAGCCTGTTCCAGAATGTGCTAATATGGCATATACTGTGCATGTTAAAGATCTCGGTAGCAGTTTTGTGCATATCTTTCCAACAATGGGAACCATTTAAGTGTGGTTTAAACATATTTTTAGTTAACTTTTTTCTCAATTTTTATTTTTGAAATTGATGACAATTGTCTGATACACAAGGGTGGAACTTTCTGCTTACTTTGGGTTTGTGTGTCTTTGTGTGTGTATGTGTGTGGGACTGAGTGAGAATGTACATGTAGAAATGTATGTGCATGTGCCCATGCTCTCGTAATATGTCAACTAGATATTTTTAAAACCATTGCTGTCAGACTGAGATCTCCTATGCCAAACTTTAATCTGCTTTTACATTTTAAGGCTGAAAGTGTGAAAATCCTAAAAGGATTTCATATTGAATATATGTACACAATCTTAACTATAGTGGTGGTAAACATACTACTATAATTTATTATTCTATCTTCCAGATAATGTTATCCATTTAGAACAAATAAGGTATATTTTTAGAATCAACTTTGTAAGCACTATAAATCTTTAATAAGTTATAAGGTCTATGATGTGTTTACTTTGAAAATTGCTGTTAAAAGCAATATGTATTAAATATATAACTATCATCTTGGTTAAGAGTCTTTTTTTCTTCCTCGTGCTAAATCTTAGAATCTAATACTGAGGATTAATTTAATAAAATTAACATGTATGGTTGAATTTGCTAAGAAATAATAAAAGGAAACCAAGTCTCATGTTCCAGGAATTGAATGATTATCACTTGGGAATTCTCAAGCTATTTTCAGATCATCTAGAAAACAAGAAAAGATATTAATGGCAAAAAGTAAAATTGTTTTGCTATTTTGATAAGCATGTAAATATATTACATCCATTTTTTTGCAACGAAAGAAAGCGGTAGACATCTTTTAATATTGCCACATTGACAGCGCTTCCTTTTATTAAAGTTCTGGAAAGTGAATGCTTGAAAACTGAAACTATAAGTTCTACGAAAGCACAGGAAAACAATTAAAATTAGCTAGCCAGAATCCTGCTAATACTTTTGTTATAAAATTTATTTGTTTGCACTGAGCTATTTTACTTTAATCAAGGGCACTGGAACCTCTTAGTGGTGCATACATTCACACGTCTTATATTTTCTAGGTGGAATCCAGACTTGGTCATTATTAAATAGCTCTCTAATTATCTCGGCTCACTTGCCTGCCTAGTGAAATACAGTTGGCCCTTGAACAATGTGGGAGTAGGGGCGCTGACCCCTGCACAGTCCAAAATCTGTGTGTAACCTTTGACTCCCCCAAAACTTAACTACTCATAGCCTTACTGGTAACATGGTTGATTTGCCACATGTTTTGTGTATGTATTGTATATTGTGTTCGTATAATAAAGATGGAGAAAAGAAAATGTTAAGAAAATCATAAGGAAGAGAAAATACATTTACAGTACTGTACCACATTTATCGAAAAAAATCCACATATAAGTGGACCTGTGAGGTTCAAACCCATGTTGTTCAAAGGTCAACTGTGTGTTCTTTGTAAGGTAATTCTTTCAGTGATGGTCTGTGTGTAGTAGAGTCCTAGCTTTGCATGTCTGGAAGAATCTGCTTCATTCTCCCAGAACAGTTTAGCAGGCTTTAGATTTCTAGGTTCATAGTTCCCACCCCCTGCCCCCCGCTCCCATTATGTTGAAGACTTTTAACTCATTGTTTATGCCATCTAATGTTGCAGATGGTAAATCTGCTATTAGTGTGATTCTCTTTCCTTTGTAGGTAATCTTGTTTTTTCTTTCCAGGAGCTTTTACACAGTATTTTATCTTCATCGTTACTCAGTTTCACTTTGACTTGTTTAGCTTTAGATTTGTTTTTACTTTTCTTGCTTGGTAATCAGTATGCACTTCATTCTGTGTGCTCACGTCTTCAATTCTGGGAAAATTTTCAAGTTGGCTGCATTTTGGAATCATATGGGAACTTGTAAAAGTACGCTGATGCCTGGTTCCCACCCGCAGAGACTCTAAAATAATTGGCCTGGGGTGTGCCCTGAACATGAGGATTTTCATGAATTCCCCAGGCGGTTTTAATGTGCAGCCCAGATTGCCAGTCATTGGTGTAGACGCGTATAAGATGAGGGGAATGTTCGAGGTGAAAGAGAGATCCTAACTTTGGGAAGGAAGGGTGAGGAACACATTGAGATACATTTTGGACTAAGTCATCTGAACTTGATGACTTGAGTGTGAAGGGTAAGGAAGAGAAGTGTGACTTAACATTTCTTTCTTGGAAAACTAGGTGGATGGTATTTCCATAAACCAGAGAGGAATGCAGAGAAGCAGGTGAGCAGGTAAAGTTAATGAGTTTGATCGGTTGAGGGTGGAGCTATGTCCAGGACATCTGGTAAAGATGCGTCATAAGCAATTGGACATTTGAATCTGGGCTATTGGATGTAAATGAGGGAGCTTGTCTTTGTCATGTGTCCATGATCTTGGAAGCTGTGGAGGTGGATGAGATCCCCAAGGAGCATGTTACAGCAGAGACGAGATCTGAGGCCTCCTGGCATGTTGGCAGAAGAGCTGGTGAAGGAGGTGGAGGGGTGTGGTCAGAAGTGGGAGGAGAAATAGAAGAGTGATGTGCTTGAAACCAGAGCAGAAGGCACTTCGTGGCAGAGGGGAGCTGGTAGTATGGAGTGCAGTTGGAAGGAATTACTAACCTTAGAGATAAGGGAGATGTATCTGATTGTTTTATGTTGAAAAATGCTTTTCCTAACCTATTTTATCTTAACATTTAAAATATTTCATTGTATACCAATAGCTTACAAAATATATTTGGGACAAGTCTGATCATATACTAAGTCGTATATTAGGAGTGAGGGGAGCTGGGGTTACCTAGAGAACTTTGAGGGAATGGTGGAGATTTGGACAGCCTCTACAGGGACTGACTAGAGATGAAGAAAGAATTTCTAGAACATTTTGAGGCCTTCAAGGACTCAGGTGAGGCTCGAGATGAGATTCTTGCAGTGGAGCCAATCAACATGGATGTGCCATGTCTTGGGGGCCGGAGGGGGGACTCAGTAGCCCAGGAGTTTAGGGCAATTGTGAGGGGATAGATTGATTCTCGTTGGGAATTTATCGGAAGACATGGCACAGAGGCTATGTGAAAAATGAATGGAGGCTCCTAAAGAAATATCATGGGATCTTTTATCATGGGATCCAGGCAAATTGGGGGAAGGAAGTTGAATCAACAGTGCTGACCTAACAGTGTGAAAAAATGAGGTGAACTAAAAGGACTGCATGCCCTGAGGTAAAAAACCCTTTTTCACAAGAAGGATGAAGGCTTGGGGTTTGTAGTCAGGAATTTAGTGGAACATTTCCAGATCGTGAGGTCCAAGGTGTGATCTAAACAGCTTTGTCTACATGGTTCACCAAAGTGGGTGGAGATGCACAGCAGTGGAGTGGAGACCCAAGGCCTGGGTGCCCAGCTGTGACAGCAGTATTGGTGTTACCTGGAAGGACCTCAGAGGTCAGGTGGAAAGGCCAGTCTTATCTGTAGTCCTCCCAACCATTTGAATGAAATACTTATCCAGATGCCTTGATTGGATTGGGATTTAAATAGAGAAATAGAGTCCTTTCTCCCTTTTTTTATTTATTTATTTTTAGGTTTTGGTTTTTTTTTTTTTTCATCATCTGAAATTTCACCACAGGTTGTATAGGAGTATTTCTTTTTCCACTAATCCTATTCAGTCAGAGACATTTCCTCTTTACTTCAGGCCTTTTTTTGGGGGAGGGGGTGGATTGTTCTTATTATTTCTTTGTTCTCTGTTTTTCTTCTCTTCTCAAATTCCTCTATTCAAAAGATCTTTGACCTTTTGTTTCTGTTTTCTATATATCCCTTAGCTTTTCTCTGTTGTGCTACACTCTAGAAGAATTACTTAACTGGATCTTCCAGCTCTGTGTCCACTCAGCATTCAGCTGTCACTGGGTTTTTAATTTCAGTGATCACACTTTGAATTTCCAAGATCTTTA